TAAATAATTTTAAAAAGCAAATGTGCACAAACAGATACTAAAAAGATTGTGTTGCTCAGATTTTAAATGAATAACATCTCAAGAGTTCCTATTCTAATATCAAAATAACTGGCATTGTGCCCAGGGTACATACTAATCCAAATACTTGACTACAAGCACAATTGACTACAATCAAAGGTCAATCCATTGTTATCCTTGTATTTTAATAAAAAATCTGATTCTGGTATATGATTGGGGCAGGAAGAGGGATATTTACATTTTATCAATCCTAACAAGTACCTAAATAAATATCAACTTCATTCCTATAAATATACTTCTTTTCCTCTATTTGCACTTATTTGTCTCCACTTCTGCACTCTAAGCTCTAGCAAGACATTGGAGACCTGGCAATAATCCAAGCTGCAGATGGTTGGAAGTGCAGCCTGAAATCAGTGTGCGGTTGATGAAATAGTCCTTACACCTGACCCTTGCTTCATACCAAGCACAAAACACAAACTGAACATAACTAGCCAGAAAAGCTTTCTGAAGCATCTTGTTATCTGGAACTCTTCCTCAAGGCATTCTGAAAAGACAGATGGCCAAAAGCAGCAAAATATAGTAAACTGAGAAAGGAGCATGGCCGAAAACCAGACAAACAATTGGAAGGGGGTGTTGTATTTTTTAAGAGTAACACAGGAAAAGTTTCTTGTATTTCACACAAGAATATATTACATATATATAAAAATGGATTAAACTAAAATATGTCAAAAAGCTAATAGCTTAAATCACAAGCCTATAAAAAATGATACAGTATTTTAAAACTATCACTATATATTTTGATTTTTGTCACAAAAAATCACATCTATGTGGAGATATGCAAATTTGATTAAAATGCCAATAAGGGAGAATTATTTGTAGCTCAGGATTGAAATAACGGATCCTTGGTGCTCTCTGAGCTTGGTTATTTTCTTGCAGGCGTTTCATTACCCAAACTAGGTAACAGAACTGATAATATTATCTAGTTTACGTAATCAAATGTCTGCAACAAAACAACAACAAAACAACCAAGCTCAGAGCACTAAGGAGCTCTCCTAGATTAAAATGTTTATTCTAAAGTAAATATATATATATATATATATATATATATATATATATATATATATGGGTATATATATATATATATATATATATATATATATAGGGGTAAACAAATGAAAATAATAATAGTAAAAAATAGTAAAAAATCAGTACTGAAATGCAGTTGCAGTTCTCTGTATCAACTCATTCTTATTTCAAACACATTTTGTAAACTTTTCTGCTGAATGTGCATAATATATGAAGTTTATGCTGTTGGATAGATTAAGTAATATCTTAATTTTTCCAATATACTAAACATCTGATATGGTATTTTCTTTTATGCACTTTCTTTGTACAGTTTCACTTGGCCAATCAGAATAGAATCGTGACTTATGATAACATTCAAATTAGGCCAGTCCAAAAACCTCAACTCAACTGGCTACACATACAATGGAAAAAAATGTTAATTTTCAATACTGTACTCTTCTCTGAACACAGTGAATCAAATTTCTTGTCTATTCATATGGTGTAAAGCATCACCTCTGATTTGGTCATTGATAAAAAAATATTTCCATTTGCAAAACTAACAGCTTCAATCATGACTCAAATGAAATCATTTCCTATGTATAAAAATTTAAACCCTTTTGTTAGCTACTAAAGAAGTTCCAAGAATGATCTCTTTTCTGATTAGCAGAAATTATTTTATTGATTTTTTGCTAAAGGTTAGCAGCCAAAATACAGAATATATTGATTTTTTGAATTAAAAATCCATAAACCAGTTTTAAATTTTATACTTTTACTATAAGTTCAAAGCATGTAGTAGCCAATACTTCTCTTGCATTAGGGCCATTCAATGTAGTTTTTTAAAATATGATTTTGTAATCTAATCATGTACTATAGTGTATTTTATAATGGCCACAAAATGCATTTGATGAGTTTCACTTCACGTTTGGGATAACTACTTGCAATACTAAAAATTTGACCATAGTGTTAATAAAATTTCAAACTCATATCATAGTGTAACAAATTCACATCACACTTATATTTTCATTAACATTTCAAAGGTGAAGAGGGACCCAAAACTTTACAAATATAATTTCTGAATGTTTTTAGGCTAAGTCAGTACAAAACTAATATTGTATTTTAAGGTCTAAAAGAAAATTCAATCACATTTATTTGATTTCTATATGAGATCTTGGTTGTACTACACACAATTCATCATACAGTAATGAGTAAAATCTTCATATTTTACTTGACATTATATGGTGGGTTGCTTATAATAAAGAGTCAAAAGTTTATTTTGTAATAACTCCTAAAGCCAAATCCCATAATAGCATATTTTAAAACAATAGAAAAAAGATTAATGAAGATTATTCAGAAGAAAAGAAAAAGGAAAGCAAAGTATATATTAAATAAAACAATGAAACAAATTGCATTATGATTCATCTGTTGCACTTTAACATTTGTAATAAATTTATATATTTTCTATTAACTCCCCTGCCACTAATGTTATTGATTTCCAAATAGGAGTTCAAATTGATGCACATTCTGTTTATATTATATTCAGGTTATGTTCCCGAAATTATGTTTGAACTTCTTTTAAAAATATGTAATTATGTAACACATAAATTATATTTGGGACACAAATTAATGCCTTTATAGTTATATGATGACCAGATCATCACCCTGATAAAAGATTTTGTAAAGTAAAACACTTCCAGAAACTCATAACTTTTAAAAAAACTAAGAGCTGCTTTTCTGTACCACTTTAAATGGTTTTAATAGTGGATAATGAGCACACACACACAAGCACACATACAAACACACACGCTTGTTAACTTCATTTCATAATCTTATCTTGATATCTATGACCATAGAGGAAAAATATTAAATATAAAGGAAGCACCTGATACAGATTTTTGGTTTATAGTTCTAATATTGAACCATGTTGAACAATTCTAACAATATATACATTTGTAGCTACAACTGAATTGCAGCAAAAAATAAAATATTATCTTTAAAGATAATATTTAATATACAATACTATCTAAGCTTTGGAAAGGCCCTGCTTGTGATAATAGGCAGTTATAAAAACAAAAAATGTATTTACCTAGCTATTTCTTTCAACTGCAATTTTGCACATCTTAAAAGAATTCTACCATTGTATGCATATGGCCATTACAATAATAGTTCATCACAATAATAGGTTTTCTCAAAAGTGTGTTTTGCAGTCAAAATCAGAAGCTTCAAGGCAGCAAGCAAGATTGGCATTGTTTAAACTCTACTACATGAGTCAAAGGGATGCAACATCCAATGTGCCTCATCCCAAACTTGAAGCTGTTGTTCTTTAAAGAGAAAAACAAATTTTCCCAAATTATTTCATAGTCTTGATGCGTTTTTAGGACTTTCATGAGTCTCATTTTCATTCCTCCAAAGAGATCAAGCTATAGATAACGGAGCAGTTTCTTGCTGCTGCTAAAAGAGAAGCAGCAGTAATATATATATTACTAAAATATTACGTAAAATATTATTTCAATCGACCTTGAGAAGAAAAAACAACCCCAATTATGAAAACTGTTCAAAAATGCCTAAAGCGTTTAATATAACTTGCACACCACTGTTTATACAATAGATTAGTGATAACCAGGTTAGAAATGAAGAGAAAGGAAGAAATCACTCTAGGAAGAGAAACTTGGTTGTCCTGAATGTCCAACATATATACATTATTGGTGCTCTTCATAACCAGTTCATTTGACTTAAGAGTAAGTAAGCAAGAAAAAGTCATTTCTGAAGTGAAAAACTGAACTTAATTACCACACCCAGAGAGAGCTAAAAACATTGTTCATTCAATTCTATCCACCCCCACCAAACATCTCATGGCTTTCAGATAGGTCATCAAAAGCGAAAAGAGATTGTTTTCCTTTTGGGTAAAAAAATAAAGAATTGACATTGCAGTCCACTTTTCTGAAATCCAACTTTGAATATTTGTTTTAAAAGCTGTAATAATAAATGATTTGTAGATGAAATAAGATGATGGAGCTTTATTTTGAAAAGTTTGTCAGGAAATCTGAGCTACCCAAGCTGCACAATGTGCATTTGAAAAATATTTCCAGTGCATATTCTAGCTGATTTATTATGCATTATATTCAGTCTTTCTGGCAAATTAAGGCCCAATTTGCCATTTCATCACAGAGTGCACAAACCATAAGACAAAAAAGGAACCATGTGGGTTGCAATTTGCTTGCCCACATCAACAAAAAGTACTAGGCTTTCCCAGACTTTTCAAACATAATATGATTATTCCATGATCAATATTTAATGGAACATTAACAAGCCCTTTGGCATGTGCCTTCCATTGCATTTCCCAAAGATTAGATTAGGTCACCTCTTTGCCCTCCTTTGACCCTCCTGGCTTCCATGTGTCAGATAAAATCAGGGAGGATCCACCATGCCTTCTCCATCATGAGTTTTCTTGTTTCCTCCCCTCTTGTGTCAGCCCCCATCAACTCCAAAGCTCCCCAGCCAGCCAGGGGTTTTTTTATTGAGCTGGTGCCAAGGATGATTGCTCTGGTGGCACAGTCAGTGTGCCAACTGGGCACTGCCATTTCCAATTTTATTCAAGGAAGGCGTACATGGATATGCACCTCTGGCACATGGAATATGTCTCCAGTAAGCAAAGAGCTTAATTAAATATACCATTCCTTCTCTTTTTGAAGGCACACTCTCCTAGATATCCATTCCAATCTTCTTTCTCCCTTCTTTCCTTCTGGACTGGTTTGTTTGGCTGTTAGTTCTACTCCTTCCTGATACAGAATTCAAAGGCAAAGAGAGCGAGCGAGCACCAGAATGCCTGCAATTTCCACCAACTACATCCACCGTTCCCCCCAAGTGCCGAATTGTCTGGAATTGGCACGCTGGACAACCCCAGGAAGCTGGCCACATACCTTAGTTTGGAGGTAATGGGGATAGTAGTATGTGTACTGAGGGAACATTGGCTGCTGTTCCAAGCGTTTGCCCATGTAGCTAGAATCTTTATCTCGGATGCAGGGAACCCGTTGACAGGGAGTCGTGCCCCAGGCCTTTCTTCGGTTAAAGCCACTATTCCTGACAGTCCTAATCAAGGTGGCTTCTTTCTTTTTTCCTCTCTCGGACTTCTTTGCCTTCTAAACGCTCACTAGCTCCAGCCGCGTCAACCGCCGCAAAAATTAAAAATAGGAAATTTTTTTGTTAAAAAATCAAAACATCGAAAAGGGGGTCGACAGGTCTTGCTTTGCTTTGCTTTGCTTTTTTCCGCCCTCTCCCCGTTAGAGCGGGACCCCCCTCCTCCTCCTGGTCTTAAATAATGTCAATTGCCAAGGTCTGGAGAGGGGGTGTGAACCGGGAGGGGGGACTAGCAGTCCTTTCGGAGAAAACAGCAAGACGAGGGAAGTCCGGATCTCTTCGGATCGGCTTCCTCGCGGTTTCTCACGATCCCTCCACCCCCTTACTAAAAAGAGAAAAGGAGGAGGTGGGAAGGAAGAGCTCAAAAAAAAAAAGAAAAAGAAAAAAAGAAAAGGAGGAATGACGGAAGGAACGCGTCCTCGCTCGCCCCAACCTAGTTGCTGCGGTCGCCCTCACGGAGGGACCCAAGGTATTGGGGCTTTTCTTCTCTTTTATTCAAACCCCCTCCTTCCAGCCGGTGGGTGGAACTACAACAGCCAGCCTCTCCCTCGAGAAGCAGACGCAGTCCAGAAGCCTGCAGTATTTCCTACCCAAAGAACCAGGCGCGCTCCAGCCCCTGCTGTAAGGAAAACCCCGCTTCCCTCTGCTGGCTATCACAGAAAGTCGAGCCGTTTTGCTGCCGCTAAAGCCGCCTCCAAAGCCGTTGGGGGGGGGGGGGGGAAGCTGTGAGATCGGATGCGCAGCCTTCCCTCTTCTTCGCCGAGTCTTCCCAAAGTTAGCTGCTCCAACTACAGCGCAGGCGTTTCGGAAAGTCGAGGCAGGAAAAAACGGAGCTTGCTGTTTAAAAACACTTCCCACTCCGAACTGTCGCTGGTACACGGCTCACAACCTTGACTGGAAAGAAGCGGCGCGAGTTCCTCTACTGGGGGATGATCTTCCCAATTAACGGCTGGACCTTGGAAACTGTTGAAAGAGACCGAAGGGAAAAATTCGGTCGGTCTCTTTGATGTTTGTTTTTAAATTCAAAAGCTAAGGAAAACAATAATAACATTTCCTAGCCTTTCAAAACAGGGTTTGCAAAAAGGAGTTTACGCAAATAATATCTCGAGCGGAGATGCTACGTTATTTTTTTTAAATGGCAATATTAAAATTAATATTTTTGAGATGGTTCTCAAAATGATTATTAAAAATCAGTGTAGCTCCTATTTAGTGAAGACTTGATGTATAATAAAAATGATAGTTAAAAATGGACTCCATATTTAAGGAAACTGCTTTTATTTAGCTTAGTAGCTATACAATGTGTTGTCTCATTCTCACAGCTCTTCACTAGCAAGGTCTCCAACAGCAGTCTAGATAACAATTTTGGAGGTGGGGTTCACAATCCTGGGAAAAGGCACTGCAAGGAGTGGCAGACAGGGCTACCTTCATGAAGACTTGTCCTATAAAGCACTTTTATGTCTTCAGATCGAAAGTGCAGCACCAGTGCTAAGGTGACCAATCATCCTCCTTTAAGGGAAGACAGTCCACCTTTTGTAAGGTCTGTCCTCTCTCAAAAAGTGTCCTACATGTCCTCCTTTTTGATATTTTAAGACTAATCTGTAAATCTCCGTGTTTGATCGATGCCGAGCCGATCCATTGCGTGTGATGTGACGTATTTGTATTTGACATGACGATTCGTCAAGGCTCGGTACAGTGCGACGAGATGCGATTATGAGATGCATGCGCTCCGCACAGGAGAATTGCTTTGAGAGAGTGTGCCGCGTGCATGAATGCAAGTGGCTTTGTTTACTTCTTACCGAAACACGACACGGCACACATGCATGCATTAGACTCACTTTTTTTCTTCAATTTATTTGTGTCCTCCTCATTGTAAAAAAGTTGGTCACCTTAAGAACCACCTTACCTAACAATACAAAGATCATTGAGAAAGATATAACAGCATGTGCACTGCAGAGTAAGCCTGGTTAGTTTAGCCTTTAGTTGGTTTTATACGGATTGGTATAAAGCCCAAATCCAGAACATTGGTTTATTTGGTAATTATGTTAATGATATTATATGACTTGGCTACCAGTCTCAAACTAGTTTACTGTATTTTTGCAAAATGTTTTGCAAATCCAACCATAGACTGGTCCAGAGTCATTCTGTAAAATCTTTAGATGGCTAAAATTTGAACATGGATCTTTACATTGGACGCTACACTTTTTTTAATATTCGTTCAAATCCATGTAATAACTTACTGGGACTATTCTTAACTGCTATATTGACAGGCAATATAAATTAACTGAAACAAGGAATCTTTCTAGCTCCAGTGTGCAACAGAAATAAAGAACATCAGCTACAGTTTGCTGCAACTACATGTGGAAGTCATTCAGTCTTTTAAAATATGGTTAATGCTAAAAGAGCATCACGACCCATTTTGCATTAAGATTTTTGTGTTCTGATATGAAATCTGTAAATCCTAAATATGCCTATCAAAAAAAAAGTTGCACTGGATTAAGTTGAACTTCTGAACAAAGCAGTTGAACTTCTAGAAATCAAACTGAACTATCTTAAAACCAACCTAGATACTTCTATTACTGCAAAATGTGTCATCAATATGATAGAAGTAAAGGAAAGGTCTTCAAAATTTAGTGTTGAAAAAGAAATTTAAAATTGAATTTGCTTCAGTGGAAACTTACTGCCTGGACAAACAAGCTTACTAAACACTATAATGGCTGGAAAACAGGAAAGGATAGCATAAAGGCAGGATGTAAGATAAATAAGTAGGCAAAAATTAGCTGGGTCTTAGAGTGGGAAAGGAAGAAGGCAAGCTATAAAAACATCTGTAAGAGGAAATGGTTAGCCAGGAAAACTTAACTAAACTGAAAAACAGAAAAGAACCTATTGTTTTAATGGGCCTAGAACTCAAAACCAACAATTGAATATGTCTAATATTTTATATTATTAATATTCAACAATTGAATATTAATATAATATTTTATATTATTAATGTGATGTATGATTTAGTATGTAGCAGGAAATAGGTAGGAGGCAATCGGAAAGAGTGTAACCTCAAAGTACCTCAGCCAATGGGGAAAGAAGAGGGATATGGCGGCCAGGACGGGGCTGAATAAAGAAGGGAATATTTTGGGTTGAAACTTTGGAGAGATCCAAGCTTTGATAGCTTCTCTCCCTGCTTATTGCAATAAACGAAACAAAAGGCCTTCACTGTATCTTGGCTGATTATTGGTCAGGTAAGCTTGCCTCTGGTCATGAAGGAAAGTAGCCAGGAGTACATAACAAATAGAACTTCTGAAATCTCTTCAATTCTAGTAACAAATTTTATTGTATTTTCAATTTTTTTAAAATTAGGGCTACAGACTGCACTAAATCATAGTTTGTTTCATATATCCAATTGGTTGAAGTTACCCAGCACTACATAATGCCTTTAAAATCCAGAAACCCATACATGATTGGTTTGATGAATTAAGGGGCACAATCATTTGACTTTTCAAGAGTGCAGTTTGTGATGATGATTGGTGCTTGGTAGCATGCTTATTGCTGGTTATTTTTCACTAAAGATTATTTAAAGGAAAAGATCAGGTGGGAGAGAGAAGAAAAGTGTCAGCGGTACACTGATAGTCATAGGCATCTGACAGATCCAGCCTTCACATCATACTGTGAAATGCCATTCAAACCATTTCAGAATTGGCAATTGTGTTGAACATAGGTGCTCATTAGATATACAAAGTAATTCCAAATAATAAGTTCTGTTTTATATCTCTGAGATTTTGTCAATTCCAAGGGATTTTGTTTTGCATAGGATGCTTTGCTCTTCATTATTTTTTGGTGGGCTGGAATCTGACTTTTCTGTGATGTTAGGAATCTAAGATTACAGTGGTAGAAAATGTAAGCCATTTCTCTCCTCTATAGGTTATGTTGTGAATGTTTTAACAAAGGAATCTTGAATTGTATCAATTTGGCATGGCCTTATTCAATTAATAACTACGTTCTGTCTGTGACTTCGGGGCCTTCTACCTTATTAGCAGATCCTGAAAGCAGAGAACCCAATTAAAGACTGTTCTCATTATGTGTGAGGGAACTTGCAGCTGTTTATTTCAGTTTTGCTATCTAGGCAGTAAAGTCTGTGGCACAACACATCTAAGGCAGTTGTCTCCATAGAGACATTTACCCCCAGGGAAAGCACCTCTACCGACACTTTAAAAAGGATCTTGTTTCCTACGTAAAAGTGGTTATGCTAAGGAAAAGTTAATACATACAGAGCAAGTGGGACCACCTGCAGCAAAATATTTCTGTGTGTCTTAGAATTTCCACTTATGCTGTTTTCCAAAATACTCCATTCCATCCACCTGCTTTTTCTGTCTCCCGTCTTCAGCTATCAACCTGTGTACCTAGCTGATAAGCTTGCTCTGTCTAGTAGGGCAGCCTTCCTCAAGTATATGATCTGGAACATTCTTTGTTTTTCTACAGGTCATATTATTTTCTTGATCATAATGATCTTCATGTCTGAGGATAATTGTGGTGGTCTCCCATGGAGAATGAGACACGCAGGCAGGTATCTCGGGATGAGAGCCCAGAGCTGACTCCAGCACCCTCTTTTATTGTTACTAAGGTTTTTACATCACACAGCATAATCAAAAGACGTATATAGGGGTGGTTACAATGTATCAAATAACAGACACTCTCCAGATGCAAGGCTACTGCAGGTGTTCTTATCAGAGTCTGTCCAAAAGGCTGATGAATGTATCCTGTGTCTGAAACAGTTATCTCAGGCCCTTGTGGGAGATGTCCATGGGCAGATGCCTATGGGTATTTGTGGAATTAGTCCCACATCTCCTGCTTTTCTGTTTTTTCAATGTTACTCACTTCCAGTTCCAGAAGGGATCTTGATTCACTGATTAAGGCATCCTTCCTAGTGGAGGGCGTAACATTTTTGCACATTTGCAGGAGGGAGGGAATACATTGAATGCAACAATATAGCAATACAAATAATATCAAAATGGTTACTATAATAGAAATCAAAAATCGTAGCCAGGATCCATCCGGTAGCCAGGACCAAAGGGCACCCCAAATATCCACGGTGCCTGATCCATCACTGCGTAAGGCACCGTGGATATTTGGAGCAAAGATTCCATTTTTCTAGCTGTAGCAGAAATATTAGGTTGAAAATCATGTAAATACATACAACAATGAGAATGAATTAAGGCACATACACCGCCTTTTGGGCTAAAATAATATCTAAAGCATACCGATTTTGCAAAACTACTTCCCTTATTTCCCCCATTTCTTGATTAATCATTTTAATGCTGTTAATTGTTTCATTAAACATATGAACAGTCCAATTGTTAAGCAAATGAAGGTCTCTATAGTTCATGGCAACTCCTAGATTGGGTAGAATCCCTCTGCTGATTTGAGTACTGATGTTTGTCCATTGATTGCTTCGATAAGTGTCATTTACCTTAGTAAGGTTGCTTTTGATGGATTTGCATTTCTTTGCTGAATTCCATCATTGAAAGGAATGGCATGAAAAATAAGGCCACCACGACTGTCACCAGGAATTTGCATGCAGATCCAACAGTTCATGACGTTAAGTGTAAGAGCAGTGCGCCTGGCATCCCGTACAAAAGCATTAAAAGCCCACAGTCCCTGATCCTCATATGCCTGGCTGAGGTGGTGTACGTTGAGCCATATAAGG